CTCAAGTTAGAACAGGGACATAAGATATTCCAGTTGTAAGATACTCCAATGTGCAATTAATTTTTATTAGTGATAATTATCTTGATTTATTACACAGCTTTGCAGTTCAGTAATAATTTACCAGTCCCTGTGCCAAGACGCTGTCAAGGCTACCACCAACAGCCTTCAGGGTTGCTGAAAAGCAGCCACAACACCAAGCACACCTGCTTCTGAGTTTGATTACACCCATTTTAACAGATGTCCTGATCATTCAAATCAACAAATGTATCTATTAGCTTTGTAGGAACAAGGCTGAGATGCATCACACTGAACTGGGAAACCATGAACCAATTTGAACTAAATGACATAAATCCCTTCTGATTAGGGTCTAAACCTGTCAACAGGTTATATTTGCTCATGGTTTTAAAGAAAACAGTGCCATCATGTGGAATTTATAGGAACTGCTACTGTACACATTAAACAAACTCAACTGTTTTATTCAAACACTTAAGAAAATATTGAGGCATAACCCTTGTTAATAATACTGCCAACGTTGTCATAACTCCATAAACATTTTGTCAGTGTTCAAAGAAAAAAGAGACATAATTCTTGATTCAATTCTTTATTAATAAATACACAATACAGAGGATAAGGAATAATCCCACCTGAATGAATTCTTCACAGCTGCCCATTTAAATCTTTAACATCTGAAAGAAAATGACCACAAAATTGATATTTCACAAACTATGTACATTATTTACAGTGTCCATGTCCCCAGCCACACAACTACTTAATGGTGTTTGTTTGGACTGGAGTTCTGGCCAGAACTGATGGGAATCCAATGGCCGTAAGGCTTCCGGCTTTCAACGCTGTCAACTCTGGGAGTTACCTTTGCAGGAGATGGAGCCACCACTGTTGGCTTGGCAACAGAATTCTAGAAAACGAGGGAAAAAAGTTTTTAAACATCTATTTTATTCTAGATTATTTTGACTGTGTGCACTTTTGAGTCACTTACATTTACACTGAAAGCAATTTTCCTGCCTTCTATCCTTGGACTGGACACACCAGGCTCTGCCTCGTCCTAATTCAAGGAGAGAAACAGATTACAAGTTACTCATGAGCAAGAAACTGCGCTTCAACCTAAAGTGCAAACTGATGAACTTCAAGATCCAGTTAAACAATTCTACTTAATATATGGCACTGTCAAACTGCAGCTTTCATGCAGCCCTTCATTACATAAATTATATCTAAAGGACAGACCTTGAAGCTGTATAAAACAATTTAAAAAAAAGAAAAAAAAAAAGTTTAGTTTGTTTAAACTGGAAGTGTGATGGAACAGTGATCAAGACGCAAGTTCCCCAGCCCCTCAGCACACATCTTGTGTACCAACTTATCTTTCGGATACGGAGAAGAGTTGTCTTGACTGGAATAGTCATTATAATGAAGTCCACACGCCTGTGCTCCTTCAGCGAGTGGCAGATTCTGCTAAGTAACAATAACCCATTTCATCTGAAAGCATAAATACAATGTAATGGCACAGAACTAACACCTAACTAAATTATTTACGTTTGTGCAATAAGCATATGCATGTAATCGAATTGTTATGTTAAATGTATGTGCTCATTCCATATATTAAACATACTGCAACATCTAAAGTCAGAGAACATGTCAACGCAAACAAATGGTTGTCACCCATGTCACATGACAGCCTTTTAATCCCAGGTGCCGATGAGTGAAGGAGACCACTGTCATGTTATCTATGAAGACAGGAATAAATACAGAGAGCAGGTGTGTTCCCTCATGGGTCAGGTTAACAAGACAGGAAATAAAACAAAAAGAGAAAGAAAAGAAACTAGACCAAGAGCAAGTAATACATTTAGTGTGCTCTCAAAAAAAAGGAATTTAAATCTAAAAGAACCTACATTTATTTTAAAAAAATAAATAAATCATGTATATTTACTTCTATGCAACTTTCACCAAGCCAACAGCAATGTAGTGTAGCTAAGAAAAAATAAAAAATAGAGTTTACAAAGAATTTCTCAGTGACTGAGGAGGTAATTTTTTCCACACCATTCTTTTTTTTTTTATCATTAGTAAAAACACTCACCTCCAAATGATTCTTTCGGGAGCCATGCCTCACCCCTGTAACAGGCTCTGGTGAAGAACTGGCTGCTGGCTGCTCTGACAGGATAGGCTTCACACTTTCAGGAAGGTCCAGCTTCTCCACTCCAAGCATTCGCATAGCATTGGCCTTGGCAACTTCAAGGAGTTCCCTTTTGTCTGTGGACCACAGTGAAAATAGAGAAGACAGTTATTCAATCGATACTATCCACCACCTGTCCAAAATAAAAAATAAATTAAAAAAGTCTACTCACCATGCAGGCTTAAACTGACAGAACGTCCAGATGATCTGGATCGCGATCGCCCCCTGTAGGTCATGGAAGGAGATCGAGAGAATCTGCATCTCAGCTGACTTGCTGGTCTCCTGTATCTGCTCCAACGTGCTGGTGACCAAGAACGGGACCTGGACCTATAGCTTCTGCGATGGCGGGAATATCTGTCTGATACCGGGGAGCGGGTGTAGGAGCGGGAATGAGCCCTGTAGTGGCGTCGTGGGGATCGGCTGTAGGAGCGAGAACGTCCCCGATAGCGGCGGGGTGGAGACCGGCTGAAGGAGCGGGAGTGTGCCCTGTAGCGCCTGGGTGGGGACCGGCGGTAGCGGTCGCCGCCATAACTGCGGTGGTTATCACATCTACAGCGGGAAGAATGTCGGTGGCATCGCGGATAGGATCGGGACCTGGAACGGGACCTGGAGCTAGAGGATGACCCGCTCCTGCAAGAAGATGAAGATGAGGAGGATGAAGACCTGTTGCGTCCGCGGCGGATTTTACGCCCTCTGTAGTCAGAACCAGTGGAACGGCTGCTGGCAGAGCTGCTGACGGATCGTGAGCGAGATCGGGAGTGTGAAGAGCCTGGACTCTTCTGGTCGAAGATCACATTGAGGCCGTCGCTCTGGCGAGCATGTGCCATATCAGAGTGCGAGTCAACCTGTGTAGCCATCTCTCAGTGTATCTGCCGAAGGCTGAAAAAAAGGTGGAAATGACAAAGTTACTATATGTAAAGCAAACGTAACTTGATTTCATTAAGTTTAGATAGCATATCATACAAATACCAAGAGACATTTGAATATGTACTGTAGAAATATGGATGACGTAACTAAATTCTACTCAATACTGCCCCTAGTGACTGCAGTAGCGTTGCGTAACTCCAACGGCTGACCCGAGAGTTCTGGAAATTTCCAGACTCGCAGGCTAACAGAGCTCGGCTAGTAGCTTGGCCTCGTTATTCTAACAAGAAATTCTTTGGGCGATTCAACAACCACGCTTCTGTATTAATTTAAAAGCAATTAACGACACAAAACATAAAAACAATGCTCTATAAACACTAAGCCCCCAAGAAACGAAAATGTAGGCGTGTTGCTGTAGTCTTACCAGTTTAAATGTAGCAGGTTGGTCTTCTTATAAAAACGTCGACGGAAACCGCTACTATGTAGAAAACACTTAAACGTTTGTTTTCACAAGGCGCGACTGTAGAAGAACAGCTAAAAAGCTATCAGATATACTGTCTTGTTTCCAAGTGCTGAAAAAAGAAGGCTAAAACGTGTCCTCTGGTGTTGATCCTCCAATCGTCGTTACTCGAATGACGACGAGACTGCGGCTGCAACTGCTTTTAAGAAGCCTCTGGAAATTTCCATTCGTGTGCTGTCCGGCCGATTCAACCTTTTTGACCAGTTCACTATTAAAACGCTTCTAAGTCAGCGGGAAAAGCCCAGTGTTCTCCAAATTCAAGACACCATACATTTGTTCTCCAAGAAATGCTGTGAAGTTCGTTATTTTCTGTTTCACAATGACTGTGAAGTTGAGATTGAATTAAAAAGAAAATCCAGTTTCTGAACTTTCCAAAAGAATCGAATCAGTTTCAACGGCCCGCCCTTCAGTAAAATAGATGAGTGCGGGTTCCTTATGTAAGTGCACAGCATAATGCGGTTTTCGGAAATAAATCCATAACATTTATACAAGTGGTGAAGATACAATTTCAGCCTTTTTAGTCGCATAGTATACAATAGTTGAGTATGTAGTCAATTGTGTAATAACCGTATGTTATTACACAAATAACCTGTATTACTTGAATTATGTGTTAACTAATAAATTTTCTAGCAATCATTTTTACTTATTTAGGATTACACCAAAAGTTACACCACATTGTTAAACGTTTTTAACTGCTAAATCTCTATGCTAAATTCAGCTCACTTTGAAAGCTATACTAAACTCGTTTTATAAAAGATTTATTCGGTTTGCAGTTAAGTATTAGTCATGGGAAAAGTAAATATAATTTGCTTGCTAAAATTGTGTTGCATCTTAAAATGTAGGTCAATGTAGAAAAGCTGTGAGAGTATCTGCAGTTCCAGAAGTATCGCTTTGTCAGCCCTTCAACACGGACCTTACATTGGAGAAAATGTAATTATTATCCTTTCCCCACAATCGCAGACGTTGCAGGCGATCTCGCGACATTTTATGTAACATCTCCTGATTTCCGTTGAGTAGATGTAGAAAAACAGGCATAGCCATGTCCTGTGTCGACGCCACATTGTGATGGTCATTTTTAGAAAAACGTGTACTAGAGATAAAAAGGGTTTGGGTAATATTGTACGACTTCGAAGTTTGATGTAATTATACGTGTTTTATGTATTAGAAATCTATACATTTCTATTAAAAATACAACGTGGGAAATGTGATATGTGGGATTTATATTTTTTATTTTTTTGTTACCTTATTGATTCATTATTAATGATAAATTGGAAAACAAGTTCATAGCTAACAAGTTGTGAGACTGAATTCCTGCTGAGAATAGCTTAAAAAAATCGGCTTGGAAATGTAATAAAAATGTAATATCTTTGTCGTATTTCTGGAAACATGACAGAGCGAGGGCTCTTAGGAATAAACTATCTTTCACGTGTTGTTCTCCAGTAACCCTGGCAACAAGAGGGCCGTTTCGGAGAAAGTAAATGGGCCAGGGACACTCGGAATGCATTTCTTTGGACTTTGTAAGTATTTATGTGTGGGAGATACTTTTTTTTTTTTTTTTTTTTTTTTAAATCTGTTGCTGTGTTTTTTCTTGGATAATAAAATGTAGAGCAGTCTATGTTATCTGAGTGTAGCAGTTAGTTGAATAAGAGTTTTCCATTCTGTCATATTTCAGTTAAAAAACAACATTTATAAAAGGTCTTTAGTTAAGAAAATCAAGACTTGCGTTGTGACCTTTTATTAGCTGTTCAATGACAGTCATGTGTTGAGGATAGATTTGATTCACTGAAGTTATATTGATATTAAAATGAAAAAAAATATATATATATGGGCGAGAAGGGAATTTTTATATATATATATATATATATATATATATATAAATTCCCTTCTATATATATATATATATATATATATATATATATATATATATATATATATATATATATATATATATATATATATAAAAATTCCCTTCTCACCCACCGCGGGTGGTTCTTATCCTTAGAGCTTGGGTCCTCTACCAGAGGCCTGGGAGCTTGAGGGTTCTGCGCAGTATCTTGGCTGTGCCAAAACTGCAAATTTCTGGACTGAGATGTCTGATGTTGTTCCTGGGATCTGTTGTAGCCACTGCTCCAGTTTGGGGGTTACTTCCCCGAGGGCCCCGATGACCACAGGCACCACTGTGGTCTTTATATATATATATATATATATATATATATATATATATATATATATATATATATATATATATATATATATATATATATATATATATATATAATAGCTCATAATATTTATAAAACTGCAGTATATGCAGTTTTTGTTGTATAATATTTAGAGCAGTTACATTCAGAAAAACACATATAAAATACGTAAAATTGTGATCTTCACCTTTTAATTTATTATTGTTGACAAAACAAAATAGCTGAATCAAATGAACTAAATGGCGATTAATTATTTGAAGTAAGAATGAATTAAAAGCATAACTTATGAACATTTTCTGAGTTATATGACCCGTATTTCTTATGACTATATGCACTGATCAGTTTGGGTTCGTCAGAATTACGCAGAAAGATTCAAAATATGTGGGTGATTGTTTTGTCATGTTATTTTGGGTGGTTTGAATTGATATCTGTATTGATGTTTTTACGTTGAGTTTGCAATGCTGTTGCATAGTGACTGGGTATGTGTATTTGTCTCTATATAGATACAGATCTATTTTTCTACGGGTATGATACAGATACGGCCGTTCTTAGTGTTTTATTTTTCAAATATCAGTTATGGTCTTCAAGGACCTGGCTGCCACTCACAAAATGGCGGACCGCGTGGTTTCGACAGCGCAACGAGCCCGGTGCAGCTTCTGCTATTCTTTGTCTACAGCTGTTAGTTAACCACCGGGTGAACACTCGCTAACTCCTCATTCTGCGTCCCCAGAAACCTGCCCGCAGGCGATAAACTGCTCCAAGATGAAGGTGTTCGCTAAAGTGAATTCAAACTACGGATATGTGATACTAATTTACCTGTACAGCTGGATTATGCTGGGCTATTTGGCAGCAAAGGTTATCGGGGCCAGGAAGAAATACAGAGTGAAGGTACCTCGATTGAGACCGAGAAGTTTTGAGAAGTCTCTGAAGTCTTTTATGATCTTGTTCGAAAACATTTTTAATGCAGCTGCTTGTTTATTTTACAGTATCCCACAATGTACAGCGACAATGAGCACATGTTCAACTGCATCCAGAGAGCCCACCAGAACACATTGGAGTTGTACCCACAGTGGCTCGTTTTCCAAACAATCACAGCCCTTATGTACCCGGTATTTATTATCATTTTATATTCATTTAACCGTTATTTGTTCGTGTGTTTATTTCCTTGCACATAGAGCAGAGGCAGCCATCATGTAGTCTTTGACCCCAGTTCACATGGTGTCACAGTGATGGGCGTGTTTTCTCCAGATGTCATGAACTCATTTCTTTATTTATTGTATTTACATTACTTTTGTGGACTCTGATTTCTAGTTAACTGCAACAGTGCTGGGTGCCATTTGGGTGACCAGTAGGTTCTTCTATGCCTGGGGGTACTACAGTGGAGGTAAGACCCCCACTTTGGATACGCTGTGTACACGGATTTCAACTGAGAGTACTTCAAGTCCCCTTCCTACAACATCGCTCAAATATAATCCCCAAATACCCCTGCCTTTTTCATTTTATGAGAAGAGGGTGTCGCCCGGGCTTAATGCCTTGCAAAATGTGTTGCTCCTCACCTAGATTTGTTTAATTATTTACAATTATTTACAAGATGCCATCTAGGCAAAAGGTCATTCATGGAAAAAAAAAATCAGAACATCTGCTAAAGATATGTGAATCTACAGCACTTAATACAAATACTTTTTAGTTTGTCTTATTGTACTACAATGTTTTGTTTATTTCTTTCTTCCCAGATCCAGAGAAGAGGATGAGTGGTGCCTTTGGCTACATTGGATACTTTGGAGTGGTCCTTATGTCCTTACACATTTCTTTGCAATTGATTGACCTCGTTTAAGATGGGTTTCAACCCATCTAGTTAAAGAGTTCTAATGGCTCATTGCTGGGAAACATCAAAAATAAACTCTCCATACTCAAGTGCTAGCTTCAGCATATATTTTATAGGTTTGTAATTTCACATTAAGGTTTGCTTATATTGTTTAATTAAAAATATTACTTCATGTAGCCAAGGATTATCAGAAAAAGAAAGAGATTACTGAATTTTAGTCTCACAGATTATTAGTGGCGAAAGGGCCAAGCAGTGGGGGTTGATGCCTCCATGTGACTCACACATGATGCTTAAGTCACAAATCTTGCTCTGAGGACACAACTCTTATTAAATATGGAAGAAAATGTTATGTTGATTTCCTCAAGATTGTTTTATACGGCACGAATATGATTTTTCTTTTTACAATAAAAGGCTTTTATCTCAGTCATTCAAATAATGATTCAAAGAGAATAAAGATAAATGTTTTTTGTTCTACTGTTCCTAAACATTTAAATTAGTTAAACATTTAGATTTAGATTAATTTTAAGCCTTTGCTCTGAAGCCTACAAGTTTGCACTTTCGTTATGCTTTTTCATTTTCTTATCCAGGGAGTGACTATTATTTTAGGCAAGACAAGTTGATTTGTACAACACATTTCACCAACAAGGCAATTCAAAGTGTTTTACATGATGAAACGATTAAACAAAAACACAATGTATTACAGTGGCACAATAAAGGAAAGAAATAAAGTTTTAAATTCAATCATGGTTTTTGTCACTTTATTATTTTGATGGTTTACAGTAAAGTTGGTGTAAACGTAGCTTTTTTGTCTATGACAAAAAATATAAATTTGTCTTAGGATATTTATGACACAAAACATTTATTTAAAGGAAAAACACTTGTCCAAAGAAAATATAATATAATGTGCTACAATTTAACGTTTTTTCTTTAATTTGAACGTTAAGTTTTTTTTTGTTTTTTTTTTTTGCAAATTTGTATTTTACGTTTATTGCGATAGAAAAGTCAAATTTTCTGCAGGGTACTTGAAGGCAACAGAATGAACAAAGCTTGGGTGTGGATGTACTGCGCATGTGCCTGAGAGAGCTTCTTTTCGGAAGCCAAGTCGGGTTAAACCAAAGGCTTGACATCAAAAACCGAACATAAAAAGGTAAATTATCTTTGAAACTCACTTTAAACATTACTTGAAACTCGCTTACGCATGTTTCCGTCAGTGGTTATCGTTGTCGGTCCTAATTATGACACTATTTTTCGTAACTTTATAACAAGAAACCTTCAAGGAAATGTTTGCTAGCGTTAATGCGACGGACAAAAGAGACATTAGAAACAGAGGTTTGTTCTTTGAAAATACTATCATTTTCTGCTGTGTAAAATCGCACTCATTCACCGTGTAGTTGTCTGATCGGTGTTAGAAACCTGCTGGTTTAGACTATGAATCTTGAGTACAGTACTATTGTACGAACTGGCTTTAGCATCGTATTTACTGCACAGCGGCTGCGCAGTAAAGTGTTTTCTCTCCCACAATCTTTTTTGCTTCGTTTCTTTCTTTTGTTTAAACAATGTAATGTATCCTTGTGGATTATTTTGTGTTATTTTTTTTCCCCCCAGAATCATGTCAGGATTTTTGGACGGAATCCGTTGCGGAGACTGCGAGTGCAATGTGGACTGGGGGGAGAGAAGAAATACCATCGCATCCATAGCTGCTGGAGTTCTGGTATTTGCTATGATTTCTTTTGTCCAAATCGTATGTGCTGTGGCAAGGGCGATGTGAGCTCCTGTGTTTGTTTTAATGTTCTAAGCGCTGATCTAAGTGTGGGTGTAATGAGGAAGAGGAAGATTTCTTAGTGATCTCATGTCAGCAATCAACCGTCGAGGGTGATTGTGCATCTTGTTTGTGCAGTTTTTCACAGGATGGTGGATCATCATTGATGCTGCTGTGAAATATCCCACCGAGACAGAATTTCATCATGCCTATCATACGTGTGGAGTCATAGCCACGGTGGCCTTTCTCATGTAAGTGGAATTTCTCAAAGCAATCTCTCAAAGTTTCATTGTTTTGTGTTTTGGATGCTTGAATCTCCATTTTTTTTAGGCACTTTCTTATTCCCCATTGTCATGGATGAGTGGTAGCTTTAATCGCATGAGTTAATTTAGGAGTTTGTCATGTGATTAGTATGTTTTTTGTGTATACCTCAGCCTCTTTCTCTAGTTAGGGTACCTAGTGTTTAGTTGCAAATTGGCTACAACCATGAATGAAAAAGACCTTTGCTGTTTGTCATGAACAGTGTAGATGTGTTATCGCTCACCGCTTTGACCAACATTTCTGAAAACTTGATCAAGTGATAAATTAAATCCCAGGGCAACTTTCTATGAGGCCGAAACATCCAAAAATGAGATTCATTGACATCAGATCTTTTGGGTTGGGTTTGAAATCTTCATGTTTACGTATTTTTGAAGACGGCTGAGATTGTTGACTTTTACTCTCTTGTTCTATTTACCTTGTGTAGGATAAATGCTGTTTCCAATGGCCAAGTGAGGGGAGACAGCTACAGCGAGGGATGCCTTGGACAGACAGGTTAGTACATGGATGAGTCTTTTTTTTTTTTTTCTGTAACTCAAGTCTTGTCTTGTTTTCATGTGTTTTGCTTATCACCCACTTTTAGTGTAAATGTGAGTGGAAAACAACTTTGAATAAACTATTAGTAGGAATTCTTGTGTGAATTTGAAAATATGTTCAGTAAATTTAATCTACTGCACTTTTTAAATCAAATTTCTAGTAGAATTCTACATTTTTGCCGCCTTTCTAGTGTGGGAACGACCAGCCTTTATTACAATCGTTAAACGATTTCGTATATCTATACAGCTCTAACACTGGATGTTGACTTAAGGCCTTTACTAAAATGAACATCCATCTTGTACACAGAAATGCATACTTGACTCCATTCAGTCCAATCACATTGGCAGCTTTAAACTTGATTGTATGTGTTCACATTCAGTTGTAGTCAGAAATGAGCACGTTAAATATTTTCCTTTCATCTGAAGGTGACACTAGATCTTCTTACAAGCCCTGATGAGATATTTTTGAGTTTAGATGACTGATCAAACCACTACTGTTTAGAAATGACTCCAGATCACTTTCCCAGTAGTAACTCTACAATGGTACTATTGAGGTCTGCACTGTTCCTTGAGCCTGTTTGGAAGAGGGAAACCTCAAGATTGAATTAAAACATTGCCTTTCAAAGTCATTCCATTAGTGATGAAGAACAACTCTGATTAGCCATTAAAAGCCCCAAACCAATCACTTTAATGTCCCTGAACTTCTCCTTGCTACTTTAGGCTAATTATAAAGTGCTGTGCCATGTTGCCCTCAGTAATCCACCCGCCCTTATCTCTCTTTGCAGGTGCTCGAGTTTGGCTCTTCATTGGCTTCATGCTGGCTTTCGGCTCCCTCATTGCCTCCATGTGGATTCTCTTCGGAGGATTCGTAGTGCCTCGTAAGTGGGATTTGTGATATTGGCATATATTGCAGCAGTTAGTGGTGAGGTCTTAGTAAAAGTTAAAGACTTTTCCATTAATTGTACTTCACAAAGTATCACGGTTTGATCTTGATATAATTGTTTTTTGCAGAGAAGTCTGCTGTGTATCCTGGTATCGCCATTTTTTTCCAAAATGCATTCATTTTCTTCGGGTAAGTTTGTCATTATTTGTCTTTTATTCAATTCAGTTAGCAAAATGAAACATGATGCTCATCTTTTTACTTTCTCTAATTTAGAGGTTTGGTCTTCAAGTTTGGGCGCACAGAGGATCTCTGGCAGTAAAACACTGACTGTCGATGGTTAAACACTCTATGTTGTATGAGACAATATTCTTTAGCTGTCATTCATTTAAATATAAACCTTTTTTAGCTTTTTCATTAAAATGTGTAATTTATGTTCTTTGTTGCATTGTAGCTAAATCATAACTAAGCACAAATTGTCAGATTTCTGTGAAGTTTAAGGACTTTCAAAGGTGGCACATCTTTAAATGTGTGTTTGCACTCAGTCTGTATCCATGTTTTTATTATGGTTTACAAGTTATGTATACCAAAATGTATATAGCAGAGTTTTACTGCAACATTCCCTTGGGTTGGCTCACTTCTTTAACACATCATCCTATTAATTTGAACTGTTCGTGTGGAAATTTGAAATGGGTGCCATTTGCAGGTAATATTTTAGAATGATTTGAATTATTACTGAATGTATTCATAAGGGGTTTGAAAAATGTTTTCAGCTTTAACGGGTTGTCTGCTCTATATTAAGTCAGATTAAATGTTGAATTTTACTATTTCACAATAGAGGGTTTCGGAACTGTAAGGTGGTGTTGCTTTAACCGAGTTTTGTTTGTGCCTGTAAATCATTGAGTCAGTTTCCAATAACAGCATCATTAAAGACACTGGGCTGTAAATGAGTTTGGCTTTTGTCTTTTCATCATCCAGCCTTTCCTTGTTTTATTTCTCTGACAAATGCATCTAATTTCTACTCTTAAGAAAAACAAAATTATGTTCAATAGAAAAGATTAATGTTGAAAAGCCATATCCAAGATGAGAGCTGATCATTTTTTTCCTTCATCTTACTTCTGTACAACGAGGTTGGGAAACTGCAAAACACAAAACATCAAGTTCACAGAACATTAATGTGATTTTCTGTAATTTTATAATTTTTTTTCTTTGAGATTCATGTGTGAATACCTCCCAGAAAGCCTGATCATCAAAGCATTTTTTGTTTTGTTGGGGTCTCCAAAACGTCCACTTGACAAGAAAGGCTGTAAGACAAAGTATTTTGGTTAAAAATGCTGAAGCTTGATTTTAAGTTGGCATTTGTCTTACAATGGTTTTTTTCAGTGTTGGTCAGGGTCATGTCAAATTAAAATGTCATTCAAAATTAATTTATACCAAGACATTCAACTAATATGCATATTAATTCTACATTATTTGAATATTAACATGTAAACAAACTATATAGTCTACAGATAATGAAAAGTCAGTTTCTCTGAAAACTACAGACCAAAAAAAAAAAAAGTATTTCTTTTTGGAAATGTGGCCATCAACTTCCCACACAACGTTTGACATGGTTGTCCATCAGTCAATGATGCTCTCCAGTGTAGGATGAGCCCCAAATAATTTTAGCAAGAGGGCTGCACCCAGACTTGATCGTGGAAAGCTGAGTGGTGGTAGAAATAGAACAAGATACAGCAGTCATGTAAGGGCTGTGAAGCAAAGTAAATTAAAGAGTTTCATGGAAGTTCAAAAGTTGTGGAGTCAGTGTTTCAAGAAACGCTTCACAGGCATATCCATGACCTGGGCAGCAGCTGTTGCTTTGCTTGTGTCAAGCCACTCGTAATCCAGAGCCATCATCAGTATTGTATTACTGTGGCTAAGGAGATAAAGCACCTGACTGTTGCTCAGTGGTCCAAAGTCCAGTTTTCAGATGAAAGTCAGATTGTCATTTCATTTGCAAATGAATCAAGAAGAGTGGAGAGGGACAGAATGAAGCTTCCTGAGGTCCAGTGTTAAATTTTTGCATTCGGTGATAATTTGGGGTGCCATGGCACCTACTGGTGTTTTGTTTATTTGTAATCAAGAATAAAGTAAAAGTCAGCACAGTACTTCACCAGGAGGTTTAGAGCATAACATTCTTCTCTCTCCTGATGAGGTTCATGGAAACATCGATTTCATTTTCCATCAGGAATTTGTCATCTGCTCACGCAGCTAAAAGCACCAGGTTCAGATTTAACTACTATATGATTGGTCTGCTATCAAAAAGAAACTAGAGACCAGCAAATGAGTTGAAGGACATTGATAAGCCACACTGGGCTTCTTGAACACCTCAGTAGAGTCGGATGCTGATGCCTCCGTGCCGTGCTGCACTCACGGTAAATGAAGCCTCAATCAAGTGTTAAATCCATATACTGCATGTTGCACGCACACTTCTGTACAAAACATAGAAACTTTTTTTTTAACTGAGATGTTGTAATGGCTAGAGAAACTACATTTTAGGTTTTCATTAGCTGTGAACCACATCACAAAATAGTATATGCCTACTATATAGGCATATAGTATATAACTATATAGTCATATACTATATAACTAACTTATGAACATACATACCTGTTATGATTCCCATGGACAAACTTAAAGAGACAGTAGTAAAGAGAGTGCAGATGTGAAACACAGCAAATCGGACAGCCCTAAAACGAAACAAAAAAACTTTGTGTTGTTTTTTATTTTTTTCTTGTCTTCGATTGCTGAGTGCATTCTTACACAGTGTGGTCATCACAGTGTTTAATCTGCAGGACCAGTTGTGCGAGCCACCCCAATAGACCAGGAAGTCCATGTGTGCTCAGAACAGCGCAGGTGTCATGGCACTCAAATGCAATCAGCAAGTGGGTCTAAAACAAAAAAAATTAGATGTTGAGCAGAGGTTTAAAGTGTAGATTTTAGAAAATAAAGTAAAGGTGGATAAAGACCTTAAGATATCTGTATCCTATGGTTGACAATATGGCAGCAGTGAATCCGAGTGCCATTGCTTCCCATGGCTGTTGAACGACCGATACAGAAACCCCAACAGCAGCGCCGCCAGCAAGGATGCATGATTGCATTTGGATCTGGTTGAGGAAATTATGCAAAAAATATCAAATATAGTGGCCAAGTAAATTATTTTCCCATATTCTGTACAAAAACAAGCTCAAGTCGTGAGTCCTGAAGCTTTACAGAAAGTGCAGAAAATAGTGTACGAGCATGCAAAAGATCCCGTCATACTGGGTTGAGTTTTCCCCTGGGACTGGAGAGCACAGCCAGAGCGGCTGCTGTCACAGCACTAACAGCCAGGGCCAGGTAGGTGCTGCACACCGCTTCCAGACGGGTTTGATCATCCACCACCAGTACGGAGTTAAAACTGGGCCAAAACATCCAGAGAAACACAGCACCTGGAGAGCAAAGACAACGCACTGTCCGAATGATCTTCAATACATTGATGCTGCACTTGGAATCAAAAATCAAAGGTTAATTGTTATGGATCCAATTAGACATTGGCTGTTGTGATGGAAGAGCTGTGACTTATTTGCCACAATGTGACATATTGAAATGTCTCAATACAAGTCTGTTACACACCCAACATTGAGAACAATCCTGATTTCTTGTCGAATTTCTCCTTCTCAAATCCCTGCTTTGAGCCATCTCTATACAGGATCCATGTCAACATGAGTCCAAAGAGGGCCCCGAAGACATGAAGCAGCATGATGCTGTTCGGAGGCCGGACCTGGAGCCAGAAAATAGCATTCATTTATGACGACTTTTATAATATAATCTTTTGTAAAGAATGTGTTCCACTGAAGATTCAATAGACTGGACATTTTCAGAACAGAATCTTACTTTCAGGAGCGTCTGGAGGAGCCATTCATTCAGGACAAATCCTGTCACTTCCAGGAGGGCAATCAGGGTGAGCTGGACTGGGTTCGTCTTTCCCAATACGGATCCGATTGAAATGAGTGCAGAAACAGCACACAGCTCTGCCTCTATAATGCTACACGAAAACATCAATGGTTGAAAGGTTAGAGTGGTGCAAATCTGAATACAAAGGTGCAATGTAAATAAGTTAGGATATTACTGAAACATGTTAATACGATATTGATTTCTACAGTTTTTTTTCCTTCCACTCAACCTTCCATTATTATGGTTAAATAAAGCACTCTGTGTACAGTCAACTTGTTTATCAATTCCCTTTTGGGCCCATTGTAGGCTATGTCGAAGGTAGCAGTGAGGCTCTACTGGGAAATATGAAGTCACCATGCTTGCGTAGGGCAACATGGCCTGGCAACATGTCAATATGTTAACATACATGTGTTAAAAAGGATTTTTTTTGGTATAGTAATTAGTTAATATTGTTTTCTAATGAAAGGAATTTTGGGCTTCATAAGTTGTAAGCCCTAATCTTGAAAAGTAACAAATATATTGTTGAAATATCATAGTTTGTATAATTAAATAACTAAAACAAATCCACTAACCATACTGTACCTGTTCAGATCAATTCTGATTATGTTGCTGTTGTACCAGGAGTCAATGCCGTTCAGTATGAGAGCCCATTGGGTGGCAATGATGGCAACAAGGAGGTTGAACCCAGAGCCACTGAACCCATACCGCACTGGGAAGGTGCACAGGAAGCCAAACCCAAGAATCACCATCACATTCACATCCTGGAACTCTGGAAGACGACAGAAACCCTGTGTCATTAAATCCAATAAATGCACTATAACTAGTAACTATGTAACAAAGACACTTTTCCATGCTGCCACCCATCAATCACATCTGCAAGATTGATCGAGTTGATTTTGCCTTTTAAGACAGGCAGAGTTTCTTAAAATCCTAGTCTTATGATACGTTATTTGATTCAATTGAAATAAAATTCAATTGGAACATTTGGAACCCAAGCCACCTTCATTCTTGCTCCCAAAGAAATAAATAAACTCACCGGGGTAAAAGTGGAGGAAGGATTTCGTGTCATGTCTGTTGGCGTCTTTGATTTCAAAGCAAAGTGCAGCTATGATGATGAATCCAGTTTGCAGAATAAGCAGTAAAGGAGCCAAACGGGAACGCAGACTAGGAGCGTATTGAGGAGCCATTTGGGGGATGATTGTTTTCTGCGTGGTTCTTTCCCTTCAGACTCATAATCGGTGGCCACGACGGTTTGAAACTGGGCGCAACCAGCACAGCTCTTTATCAGCTGCTGAACAGGAAGGCAGTCTGTATCTTTTTTTTTTTTAAATGGTGGAAAAAAATCTTCAGTGTATTTCAAATAAGAAAAAAAAATCAATTCTGAAAAAGAGCAATTTAATACAAACTGGTGCAATAACCATTTTACAAAAATAAAATGTTATGACTCTGTCAACCAGAATGAAGTTAACTAATATTTATTGTTATGCAAATAAGAGGGTTTCCCGTCAACTTTATCCATTCGATGTCAATCCGATAATTTTCCGTTTAAACAGGATCGATTTGAAACAGTTTTCCTCCAAACTCAGCGAACAGCGTGGGGCCAACACACACCTGGAGTCACACACAGGAAATTAACACCTGGCCACCACACCTTCCAGCTTCCAGCTTGCCTTTTATGGAGCCTCAGGCTGTAGAGAGTGCGACCCCTGGTGGTGCCACCTGTTACAAAAATACATTTGCTCTCTTTTTTACTTTCAATAAATGTTTCAGATTTAAAATAATACTCTTAGCAATTTTTTAAAATAAATGTGAACGACTTCTTTATGAGATGAAATACAATCACATTAATCGTTTTCAATAATTAAATCAACAGATCAAATAACTCATTGATTCATTGAGAAGAGTTAATTTAATTAAGCCTTTTCAAAATGGAAAATTCCCAACATGTTTTCTCACTTCTTTGTTCTCGCGTGGAATA